GAGACGTCGGAGAGTTAGATGTCGCGAAGCTTGGCCCAGAGCGTGACGTACTGGATCAGGGCCTCGATGCCAAGAGCGCCATGTATATCCCACACCCAATGGCGGTTGGTTGAGGGCGTCGCTGCACGCTGCAAGTCTTGCATCGACGGTGAGGGATCAAAGTGTGGATGAGGGGAGCAATCTCACTAATGCACAAGCCGTCCAGCCAGTGGTCCTCGCAGAAGGAGCACACCCTGCCATCCCCAAGCTCCCAGCAGGTCGACGCATGGAAGATGGCGCGAACCTCTGGTGTGTAGGGAATGTGAAGGCGACGCCAAGGCCTGGAAGGGTCAGTTTTGCGCAGCCAAAGCCACCTAGCCTCAAGCGCATGCCCAGTCCGGAGCAAGTCAGGAACGCCCATGCCACCGAAGGCAATCGATCGACAAACCTTGCCCCAGCTCACAAGACAGTGTCCACCACTCACGATCTTCCTACCATGCCATAAGAAGCACGGACTAGTCGGTTCATGTGCTTGAGAATCACAAGATTGATAGCCATGGCGATGACGATGTGAGTCTGCATGGCACAAAAGACGTGTCACACCATAGCCAATCGTTCACCACGAGAAAGCATTGAAGCCCACAAGGTTGAGAGCTTCTTCTCGAGCTTGTCCACGTAAGGCTGCAAGGCGTTGGTGGGGATATTGCGGATAGGCAGCGGGAGTCCAATATACTTCGTCAGGAAATCCTAGATTGGGCACGGGAAATGGCTGGCAATGGAGTCATTGAAGGAAATATGCCCTAGAGGCAATAATAAAGTTATTATTTATTTCCTTAATTCATGATAAATGTTTATTATTCATGCTAGAATTGTATTAACCGGAAACTTAGTACATGTGTGAATACATAGACAAAACATATAGTCCCTAGTATGCCTCTACTTAACTAGCTCGTTAATCAAAGATGGTTATGTTTCCTAACCATAGACACGTGTTGTCATTTGATAAAGGGGATCACATCATTAGGAGAATGGTGTGATGGACATGACCCATCCGTTAGCTTAGCATTTTGATCGTGTCAGTTTCATTGCTACTGCTTTCTTCAGGACTTATACAAGTTCCTCAGACTATGAGATTATGCAACTCCCGAATACCGGAGGAACACTTTTTGTGCTACCAAACGTCACAACGTAAACGGGTGATTATAAAGGTGCTCTACAGGTGTCTCCAAAGGTGTTTGTTCGGTTGGCATAGATCGAGATTAGGATTTGTCACTCTGTGTTTTGGAGAGGTATCTCTGGGCCCTCTCGGTAATACTCATCACTATAAGCCTTGCAAGTATTGTGACTAATGAGTTAGTTGCGGGATGAAGTATTACGGAACGAGTAAAGAGACTTGCCGGTAACGAGATTGAACTAGGTATTAAGATACCGACGATCGAATCTCGGGCAAGTAACATACCGATGACAAAGGGAACAACATATGTTGTTATGCGGTTTGGTCGATAAAGATCTTCGTAGATTATGTAGGAACCAATATGAGCATCTTCTGCTATTGGTTATTGACCGGAGACATGTCTCAGTCATGTCTACATAATTCTCGAACCCGTAGGGTCCGCACGCTTAACGTATCATTAATTTTTTATTGTTCCATGCTATTGTAGTATCAGTCATGGATGTTTTATATGCAATTATATGCTATTTTATACCAATCTTTGGGACAAACCTATTAACCCAGTGCCAATTTTGTTTTCTGCTTGTTTTTGGCTTTCCAAAAAATCAGTACCAAATGGAGGCCAAACGCTACAAACTTTTTGACGTTTTTTCTGGACATAAGAGACCCTGGAGGCTTTGGGAGGAGACCAGAGGATGAACGAGGAGACGACAAGGCAAACCGGCACGCCCAGGGGGCCCTATTGCCTCGTGGGCCCCTTGAGGCTCCGTTTGACTGAATTCCACTTCTATAAATTCTCAAATATTGGAAACCAACAAAGAGCGACCCGGAATACTTTTCCGTTGCCTCAAGTCTCTGTCTTTTCATGATCCCATCGGCCTTTTTTGACACCCTGACGAAGGGGGGATCCATCATGGAGGGCTTCTACGTCAACCTTACTGGCCTGTCGATGACGCGTGAGTAGTTTACCACAGACCTACGAGTCCATAGCTAGTATCTAGATGGTTTCTTCTCTCTCTTTGATCTTCAATACCATGTTCTCCTCGATGTTCTTGGAGTTCTTCTTTTGCGGTGTGTTTGTTGGGATCCGATGAATTGTGGGTTTATGATCTGAATATTCATAAGTAATTGAGTCTCTTCTGAACTTTGTTATGCATGATTGTTATAGCTTTGTATTTCTCCCCGATCTATCCGTTTGGTTTGGCCAACTAGATTGATTTATCTTCAGTGCGAGAGGTGCTTTGTGATGGGTTCAATCTTGCGGTGCTGTAGCCCAGTGACAGAAAGGGACAAGACATGCATTTGTATTGTTGCCCTTAAGGATAAAATGATGGGGTTTATTCATATTAGTTGAGTTTACTTTGTGTACATCATGTCACACTCTGTTTTTATTAACTTAATACTCTAGATGCATGTTGGATAGCGGTCGATGGGTGGAGTAATAGTAGTAGATGCAAGCAGGAGTCGGTCTACTTATCTCGGACGTGATGCCTATATACATGATCATTGCCTTGAATATCATCATAAATATGCGATTTCCTATCAGTTGCCCAACAGTAATTTGTTTACCACTGTATATTATGTGTTCGAGAGAGAAGCCTCTAGTGAAAACTATGGCCCCCGAGTCTACAAATCATATATAAAAACCAAATATATATTTGCTGCAATTTTTACTTTCTTTTTATTTTATCTTTGCAATTTATCTATCTACCACTACAAGATTTAATCCTTACAAGTAACCGCCAATGGGATTGACCACCCTCTTGTTCGCGTTGGGTGCAAGTATTTGCTTTTGTGTGTGCAGGTGCTGTTCACGAGGCCTTGCGTGATTCTCCTACTGGATTGATAACCTTGGTTCTTACTGAGGGAAATACTTATCTCTACTGTATTGCATCTCCTCTTCTCTTCGAGGAAAATTCCAACGCAGCTCACAAGTAGCACGATGATGTATGTAAGATGCTAAACGCTATTCCTTATAAGCTCTTTGTATCTTTTTCTTCTGCTTAGAGTTTTTTTTTTCAAATTCATCCTTTACAACACTGCTTGATGCTTGAGCCAAATGTAATACAAGTAATCAAGGTATGCATGGGAGTAACTTATAGCAAGCAACGTGATTCAACATTTCACTACGATGCACAGGTGATGAGGCCTAACAATTTTCAAAATGCTAGTGGGTAAGATACTGCAAAGGCTAGTGGGTATCAAGTTCAATGGCAAGGGGAGATAGTGGTTGACGGAATGGATACCTTCAACGACTATACCTTTGTCGCGAACGGAGGGTATATGACCTTGCTTCCGGTTGTGGTGTTAAGGGGTGGATGAATGTTGCCGGTGACAAATTATTGGCAATGGCAGTGATGTTGATGTAGTCGTCCCTAAGTAGCCGAAACACCTTATAAAATGCAAGCCACAAGTTCAAATAACAATGAAATAAATGGCAAAGAAAAACAAGAAAAAATGGTGGGCTGGATGTCTCGGAGGGCCGGATGTCCGGGGGCTGTCAATCGTGGCAATTTGGGGATATCAGACTTCAAAATTGGATAGTGGAGAAGAAACATTTTGGAGCTATGGTGGTGGAATTTATGGGCGAAAGCTATTGGGAGGTTTGGGAAGGAAGATCCACTTGCAACACATCAAATCCATGGATCAAATCAAACAAAATCTCACAAGATCCAACAAAACCGCAAGAAATTGGGTAGGGCTATTTTTGCTGGAGATTTTTGAAATTAGGTGAAGACAATTAAAAGTAGGCAAAGTCCTAGGTGTTCCAACAAAAGTATATGTAGTATAAAGTATGAGCTCTAAGGGCCAACCACATGTTAGCACAAAAAAAGTAAGGGTTCACAAATGATATTTCCACTCATTAATATCGAGCATGTTCCTGAAATAAACTTTAGAAAACATTAGTCATCTTAATTGACACATCATTAATCACCAAAAAAACAAATGAGGGCCTAAGTGCACTTCCAATAGCATTCTAACTAACTAGATTCGAAATCATGTAGACACTTGGCTTGATTAGGCTGATGGTACCAATCATCTATCCATGTATCTACCATGTAACATGTTCAAAATATATACGAGGTTATATCGTGTATCGATCAACTTCTTCAAAAGTTTCACCCTATGGCCGGGTCACAGTTGTCTAATGTGACCTTCATCCCCCCACCCCCCTTCTGCGTCACGATTGTCTAATGCGACAATTTCACCGCTACATACCTTTCCTCCAATAGTACACCATCAATGCGTGAAGCACTGTAGTCTGTAGATCAGTCTCCATTTTGTCCATCAACAAGTTTGCTTGGTGAATGTCAAAGTACTTAACGCTCCTGCTATTGTCAGCACGCCGACATTTTCACCAAGGTACTGCCTACAACACTCTTCCTCGAGTCCCTGTCCAGCTCTCGAGTTTGGTGGGCCGTTGGAACACGTCCTCTCGTGCGTCTCAACCTACCGGACTATCTCGTTAGGACGAGGAGCGCACACTGTGCCGCACGCTTTGTACGACATCCCCACGTCCATCGCTTGAGTAGTGTCGCAGGATTCTGTTGTGTAACCTAGTCTCTTCCTAACGTACTAATCTATCTCATGTACGTATATGGTGAACAGAAACATGAAGAGTTCTTTCTCTTTTTGGAAAAGGAGGGTTTACCCCCGGCCTCTGCATCAGATGATGCACACAACCATTAACACGAAGAGTTATACATAAATCATAAATCCTCTAAACTAGGCAGATTTATAGTCGACATTGAAAAGATAAGAAAATTTACTGGAAACATAGTAGCAAGTTAGGTTGCAACCCAATAGTTTGCATAAAACAACAGTGACTGTGCAATCGGCGCAGCATTGCCTACATGGCAGTGCCACATAGCTGCTCAACATTTCTGGGGGTCACGAAGGGTGCTGATCCTTGAAAGGCAACTGCCGTGAGCTTCTGCGCGGTGATCTCCGTGGGGTGCACAAAGTCCCAGAAAACGTGGCTGGTCCGATTCTTGCAGAGGGAGCTGGCCGGAGTGCAGCTAAACATGGCATTTTTCTCCCCTCCTAGCCCGCAACACGCTGCATCCACCACAGTGTAACCTATAGTATATATCACCGTAACATCAGATTAAGCTACAGTGCATATCAAATTAGCAGGTGAATGATTAGTGGGTCGTCTGGGCAGTCTGAGTAATTAGTGGGTCGTCGATCTGTTGTACCGTTTGCTTCTGGTCGCTGGAAGTAGTCGAGCATTGCAATGGATGGGTCGAACAAGGAGTAGAGCATATCCAGGTACTTGTCGCTCATGTCTTGCAGGAGGGAAGCCACCTTGATGTTGTACTCAGATGACATGTAGTTTGCTAGTTCGTCGCACTCCTCCTTCCCCCGCAGCACCGGGCAGCACCCCAGTGGCGCTGCTCCGATGATGAACATCCTGCGCATCCCGAGTTTGTACAGCCTCTGCAATTCATCATTCATGTAGGTTGTAAGTCAGATTGCATACTCATGTACTCATGCGTCGGTGCAAATTAATGCAAGAGGAAATATGTACTCCCTTTCGTCCCATCATATAAGAGCATTTTTGACACTACACTAATGCAAAAAATGCTTTTATATTATGGAACGAAGGAAGCACATATCAAGAACAAGCTTATGTAATGTATAAGCAAGGATGAACCAAAAAGTTTCCATACCTGGAGCTGGTCTTTCAGCGAGAGAGCCAACGAGGCGACGAACTCATCAGGAGACTGAGTTGGAGGACAAGGGCTTATCACCTGGTTCACAAGGCTTGGACGGACGTAGTTGAGTATGTCGTTGCCGCCGATTGCAACGGCGAAGATCGATCTGCTCAGGTGCGCCCAAGCCTGAGCCTGGCCGAGCTGCTGCACCAGTGATGCATTCACCTTGGAGAATTGGTGATCGATTTGGTGGTCGAAGCTGATGCACTGACCCTGTATGTACGTAGACCCATGCATGGCATGCATATATAATTAAGAAATAATATGGCATATGGAAGAAGTTAAAGTGTCAAAACCAGCGCAATTAGTCATCCAGTAGTGCTAGTGCATACGACGTAGTATCTCCATGACTCCATTTACCTGGTTTGTTTGATTTGATACCCCTGCACCTCCTGAAGCGAAGTTGACGCCAGTCAGATATATGGAATTGCTGCTTGGGGTGTTGCAGATGGACAGGTATGGAGGAGGGCTGCTCGGCAGCTTCAGATGTTCAGCTGCAATGCAGGAATAAGAAGCATAATCAGGAAAAACAGAGTGCATACATGTCTAGTAAGTATATGCATTTCCTTTTTGCTGGAAGAGGATACATGTATGCATCGAACAAATAACTGGGTATTGTATTGCATTGTATTATGGCATAACAAGGCATTATTCTGTTATCAGAAATTATCAGGGAATCCCTAGCACAGTTCCTTATGGTGATCTTCTAGTTACCCTGTTTCATTCTCGTGATCTTCTAGTTGTTCCATTTAACATCTTGGTCAGCGCTAGTTGAGAGAATCGTCGTTTTAATCAATTCAAGTACGAGTATAAAATTAACTTTGGTCAACTACTCAGCAATGCCATGCATGTTCAGGGACAGGGAGTACAACATTAAAGATCATGCACGCACGACTACCCTCACCACTTGATGATCATCTCGCCGGCCGGCTGATGCCCATAAAAAATGCAAAAGTTACAGGTTCACTCTCCTTGAAGCAATGCTCAGTTTAGAAGTCTGAAGAGAAAAGAGACTTGACATCAACAGTGGAAGGCATATGTACGCACCGAGGAAGTCGACGAAGTTCTTGCCGTTGCTGAACCTGCCGGTGGCCTTGCAGCCCGGGTAGTCGACGCCGTTGTGCGGGTGGTCCGCCCTGAGCACCGTCACCAGGTGGTTGTTGGTCCCGGCGTCCGCCTGCGAATCGCCGAGCACGTATAGCGCCGGGGCCAACCCCGCGCCGGCTTCGCACAGCCAGCAACAAGCCAGCAGGAGCAGGACGCAAGGCAATCCACGAGAGACCACCATCCCAATACAAGACCCCATTCTGACTACTCGCTGGTCACGTACTCCTACTACGGAGCGATCGCTCCTACGGTAGTATATATACGGAGAGAGACCCTCAACATGCAACGCGTACAGACGTCCTCGCTGTCAGTTATACTAACTCAAACCAGGCAGCTGTCAACCATGGCAGGACATCTCCAGCAGTTTCAAGATAGTGTTGCGTTCATGGTATGCATGGAGGTGGAACTAGCCTCAGACGGTGGAATAGATTACCGGCAGCAATAATTTTTAAATTGGCTCGCGACCCTGTACCTCCCTAATCCTCCAGCTTGTTCACGTTGCCGCATCTCTGCAAGTCAACTCTGAGATTGCATGCACTTCTCGCACAAAACAATGGAACTTGCACATCACAAGGTCGCTACGGGCGGTTAAGGACAGTTCAGCGTTAGGGTATGAGCGTACAAACAACAATATTTATACGATAATATTAACGCTCACACGTGTAACATGAAGCAACATGACTCATACATCTTCATTACAATCCATGTTGCCACGTCAAAACAGATGACATCAGTGTAAATCTTTTTAGTTTTCGGCTTAAAAATATTTTATCTCTTAATTAAAAAATCAAATTAAAAATCCATTTTCATCATTAAATCCGTCTCAACGAGATCTTTAAAACTAGATCGCATGTTGATATGTTTGGACAAATTTTTTGTCAAAAATTGTCATGACGTTTACACTGTAGTTGCCATAGTGCTTTCACTAAAGTTGTCATGACATGTTTTATCTTTTTTTTTTCTAGATTTAAAGCTATCATTGTATTTTCAAATACTTTTTACGGCAATTTTTATTAATTTACCATGGCAATTTTTAGTAATTAACCACGGCAAATTTAATGCATGGATCACGGCAATTTTTAGTAATCCATCATGGCAAATTTAGTTTATAGATCATGGGAATTTTAGTTTATAGATCATGGCAATTTTAGTATTTTGACCATGAAAATTATTTTTTGTATGAACCATGGCAAATTTAGTTTATAGATTATGGGAATTTTAGTTTATAGATCATGGCAATTTTAGTATTTTGATCATGAACATTATTTTTTGTATGAACCATAGCAAATTTAAGTAATTCACCAATGGCAATTTTAGTTTATGGTTCATGACAAGTCTAGTTTCTTAATTCTCCGTTTTATAATCTCTACTATCTAAAAGAAACGGAGTGTTCCGTTTCCCCTCTTACGTTGCCCGCTCTTCGTCACACCTCCCCTTACGATATCCCCAACCCACACCGATTCCCTCCCCCTCCACCGATTTTCCTCCCGGTTTTTTATTTACAACAATTTTCGTCAGGCCGAAAAAACCCAAATCTTTTGGTAACACAATCAATTCACCTTGTGGTAATTAATCTCTTCTTTGGTAACACATCACGCAATAAATTCACGTATGGTAATCAATCGCGGGCCAGATCAGCATATCCTATTCCTTGTTCTTCTTTCCTCGCCGCCGCTATCGATCTGTTTTCTCCCCGCGGTCGACCGTGCTCGCCGTTCGTCGCGGTTGTTAATCTCCCTCTCTCTCCCTCTCTCTCTCTCTCATATTTTCCAACCATGCGTTGCGATCTCATCATGTACGCAGGCTGATCCTGTTGTCGAGGCAGACAAAGAGCAAAGTCTTGAGCGGATAACGGTCGAGCGTAAAGGGCGTGCGGAGGAAGGCCTCAAGGAAGCAGCCGGTGTTGGCGCTGGACCAGATCATCGCAGCTCTTCCGCGGGTCATGGAGGTTGCCAACTGCATCAAGTATGTCGATGTGTACTAGGCTGCCATCAGGAAGAATTCAGTCGGATCCTGCTGCGTTTGGTGAGTGCTTCCTCTGGACTGTGAGTTATCGTTGTTTCTTTTTTGTGATTGGTGCCTTCGCATGGAGGAACTAGCAACTCTTGGATCAAATCGTGAATGGGCGGTGCCTTCAGCCTGGAGGTCACCCGTGGGCGGCAGTCTGAGGCTGCGACACGGCGAGAGCTTCACCATTGATGTACGATCTTACGCGGACACAACGTGGGAAATTATGCAGCTCCTGCATGCAGTAAAAATCTTCTCCCTGACTCCTCCCGATTTCCCTCCCCTCCTAACACTGTGACTCTACAGAGCGTATCCTCATTGTGGCACGATCAACAGAAAATTTTACTATGCTTTGTATTTCTACAGTTGGGAACGTGCCATATAAACTCCTGGTAGAAGTAAACCACAACTAGCTGTGAGTTTCTGTGAAGAATCTCACGTTGTCTCCCTGCAATTGTCTGGAACTCCTCTGGCGTGGCAATCAGCAGGAAAAAACGATTCACCTCCGGCAACAAGATAAGTTTTTGTGTGTTTTTTAATTGAGAAACATATGTATGTACGATTCGGACATATTTGAGAGAGAAATTTAATTCTTTCATAGCATGGTTAAATCCATACTGAGCCATTTCTTCAAAAAACCTCGTTCTATTTTGAAGTGACAAAGCTAAACATGGTCTCTATGTAATTATGTTTATGAAATATGAATAGAGCTAGGGATAACATTTGTATCATCGGCAGCGAGTCCGGAAGTGGAGGAACTTGTCCGGTACGACGGCTTTGTGATCGAAGGGAACTTTTCAATATATATACTTGTAAATCTGTAAGAAATGTTTAATTCAAAATTTCCTTGTACTGTAAGATTAGTATGCACTTATTTGGTATAAAACATTTTCATTGTTTCATCGCATAATATTATGAAATAGGATTCCATTGAAGAATAATTTTGGATAAAGTATACTACAAAGAATACGACAACTAAATGAATCTGAAGGCAACGTCACAACATTGTATTTGAATATCATAAGCGCTGGTGGAGTAGATCTTAGTTAATAAGTGATAAAGGTCCTTGCCATCGATTATGACAATGTTGAATACCTTTCTGCTAAAATAGGAAGGACAATTTAATTATTCTTACTTGATTAAAGGAAATGTATAATGAAAAAAAAGGGCTCAAAAGCTATGCTAGAACTCGGTTTGTCATGTGACTGTGATTGATCGATATCGGTGACATTATTTCCCTCTATTTTGGTGGCAAATATAATGCACCAATAATCCCGCGGTAATGCGGGGACATGAGTTGGTTGGATTCCCAATGATATATAGTAGCCAAATATGAGCCATTGTCCTCCATAGAAAATTCCCGTTGCAACGCACGGGCAATTACCTAGTATATCAAAAATTACTTTTAAAGATAGAAAAAAATAGCGAAAACATATCATGGCAACTTCAGTATGAACACCATGACAATTCGTGTGCAATAGACATGATAATTTTTAACCCCAAAAAATAGGCGTCAAAACATATTGATATGGTATCTAGTTTCGAAAATCTCATTCCAATGGATTTAATGATGTAAACGGATGTTCAATCGAATTTTTCATTTTAAGAGATAAAACATTTTAAAAACCGAAAATCCAAAAAGATTTTAACGTGCATGCATACGATGACGTGGCGCAATCTGTGTGTTATAAGGCGTGTGGACGGATGTTGCTCCCACCACACGTGTAGGCGTTATCAACGTCCTACTTATATCGCGTGCATATATATAAATAGTGTTCATGTCATGCATGGCAGCACTCAAACTATGACATCTTCAACAGTTATAAGTTACTAGCATTCATGGCGTGCATGGAGGTAAAACTAGACTCAAGCGTACATGTGTGGCACTTATCATTTCGGATTTTAGGACCTTGATAAATGCCACACGTATGGTACAAACACACAACAACTTTGAACGTTTTTTATGGCAAGTTTAATGATGCGAGGATGCCAAATTTAGTTGGCATGGCAACTTTCTCTTCGGATGGCGAGTTATAGGTTTTTTGCTGTTTGTTTTTTCTTTTCGGATGGTAACTTTAGTTGTAAAAATCATCAGGGCGAGATTACTTCATGTCACACGCATGGCACTTATCATTCGAGATTTTAAATTGGCGCACAACTCTGTACTTCCGTAATCCGCCAGCGTGTTCACATTGCCGCATCTCTGCAAGTCAACTCTGAGATTGCTTGCACTTCTCGCACAAAATAATCGAACTTGCACATCACTAGGTCAGACAGCATTGTGATGTGTTCAGGGTTAGTCTATGAGCGTGTACAAACAACATTGTGCGATTCGTTAAGAGTAGAAGTCATCCATGGTCATTTACTTGTCCATTGCGCGCAAATTGGTTGCTGGACTCAAGAGGTGCTTGAGGTGGTTTGTGTCTCCAAAACTACCACTTTTAATTAACAGCCAAAAATCTATCAAATTTTATACCCCGATAACTTAAGTTTGATCGCCCGGAAGACCTCCTATTTTCCGCCCACGGGTGGCAAATTGTTGAGCCTTCGCTGAAGGCAGCCGCGAATAGGTGACCTATTTGGAGCTAACGAACTCGAGGCGCGCAAAAAAAATCACCACGAAGTGTTGCATGAGCGAGATCGAGCTGACGACGTCCCACTTGTTATCACGTGTTCCTAACTAGTAGACCTTATGAGTTCTGGCGGTTCATTCGCAGCGCCAGACTTTAAGTATCGATTGCAGTGGCAGAACTGAATTTATTTTGAAATTTTCTGAATAATTCATGCTATTCTTTCATAAAAGTTCACAAACATCATAAATAATGTTTAAAAACTTGTGAACAAAATTCGAATTCAAACAAACTTTTAAACGTGATCTTTTTAAAAAAAAGTGAACAAAAAACTGAAAAACATGAACAATTTTTTTTGAAATGCCGAACATTTATTGATTCTATTATATATGCTGAAAAAATTGGAAACATACCCTGCACGATTTTCAAAATGCACACAGAACATTTTTTTGATATACACTGAACTATATTTAAATAGACATTGAACATTTTTGTGACATATGCTGAAAATATTTAAATACACATTGGATATTTTTGTGATATATGCAGCACAATATAAAAATACACAACGACCATCTTCTAAATATGCTGAACATGTTTTTAGTGTAGGGTGAATATTTCCTTAAATATACGATGACCATTTTTGTATATAAACATGAAATGAACTTTGTATAGTACATGAAAAAGGAAAAAATAAAAAAGATAATGGAAAAGAAATAGAAACAGAAATAAAAACAGAAACATAAAAAAAGGAAAATGAAAAAGGAAACAAAAGATAAGAAATAGAAAAAGGAAATCAGAGAAGGGAAGAAGCAGCCTCGCGACGGTGGGTTGGCCCAGAATGAGGCGCCGGCGGAGGAGATTCAGGGGCGCGCGAGTCGAGCTTCCGACGACTAGCTGACGCGCAAGCATATGGGCCACCCCAGTTCTCGGTAGTATACACTGCCTAATTTTGTTTTCTGTTTTTTTCTTTATATTTCATTTTTTATTACTTTTTTAGTTTTGTTTACACTTTCAAATATTATTAACATATATATTACCAAAATATACTTTACATAATGTTTTGGAAAATGTTAATCATGCATTTAAAAAAATGTTGATCATGTATGAAAATAATGATGAAATATTTTGATCATATAAATAAAATATTAATCAAGCACTTGAAAAGAATTGTAACGCCCTGTCCATAGCCATCGGTTCCCGGCCATTACACTTGGAGGAATCTAGACTGACCCCACAGACCAATACTAATCTTTCGTACGCACTTTGTCTTCACTCATGCGCACTCGGGACCAACTTCTCGGTCGGTCACCCATCCTAGAATTACTCAAGCCAAGCACGCTTAACTTTGGAGTTCTTTTCGAATGGGCTCCCGAAAAAGATGAAATTCCTTATTGATATGAGTAGTCTATCATTCCTATTAAATCAGACTCTCACAAAAATGTTTAACAAGTATTTCACAAATGTTAACCAAGCATTGGGAAATGTTAAATGTGAATAGAGAAAATGTTGACCATGCATTAAAAAAATAAAAAATGATAATTGTATATAAAAATTGTAATCAAGCATTTGAAAAAAATGTTGAACGGGATTTAAAAAATGTTAATCAAGCATTTGAAAAAGTTAAATGTGTATAGAAAAAAAGTTGAACATTCATTCAAAAACTGTTAATCTTTCACTTTGAAAAATGTTGATTAAGCATTTGAAAAATGTTAAATATCCATAGAAAAAAGTCGACCATGTATTATAAAAATGTTAAACTTGTATTTAATATTTTAAACCAGCATTTGAAAAAAAAAATAAAGTGTTGATAAGAAAAACGTTGATTATGCATTCAAAAAATCTTAATATTGTATTTGTAAAAAAAATTAATCGAACATTTGAATTTTTTAAAAATTTTGTAAAGATTTTTTTATTATGTGTTAAAAAGTTAATTTTGTACTGGAAAGATGTTGAATATGTATTAGAAAAATATTGTTGACATATAAAAAAAATGTATAATGAAAAAACAAGAAACAAAGAACAAAATGATAAATGATAAAACCTCGGTCGCACGGTCACGACTCCAAGGCTGAACGGATCAATGTACATCTCACCTCAAGCGCCTAGAGGATCGATAAGTGGGTTGCAGGACTTGGCCGAAGCGGAGGAAGAAGCCTTGAAAGAAGCGCTAGCGATGTCGTACATTGTGTCCCGGATGCGCACACCTTGAGGAGCGGTCCAAAAGGGGACGACGTTGAGACACCGTTGTTGTCTGATCCGGTGAATCGGACCTAGGTTTTTACCCGGCACTCGAAAAGGAGCAGTCCAAAAGGAGACAACGTTGGGACAACCAGGAGGTCCCGCATGCAACGGACTGTGGGAAGGGGGAACGCCGCCCCGTCCCCGTGTCGCCTAGGTTTTTTTTAACACAGTATAGACGTAAGCGCATACATTCACACTATGAACGCACACACACCCTATCCCTATGAGCACCTTCGAAAAACTGAGCCGCCATATCATCTTGAAAATTACGAAGTCACTATGAGCGCCTCGTCGTCGACGGAAACATCTCTTCCTACTGAAAGCACATCGCCAGAAATCCTATAATAAATTCAGAAATAATGCAAGCACCAAGACTTACCATTGTCCCTCTAACATCGTCCAACCACAAGTTAGTTCGTTGTCTGCTCAGAGTTAACAACATGCCATAGAAGTATGTACTGTTTTTTTTTTTGAAAACGAAAGGGGCTCGAGCCACCTTTATATTTCAGAACGGGCCGGAGCCTGAGTAGCATACAAACATGAGGCTTGTGGGGTGCACTTTAGTGCAAGGCCACAAGATAAACCTGATAGAAAAGGAGTTGCTCAGAGTCTCAGACAGGAGTAGAAGAAGAGGAGAACCGACAGCCAAAAACCAAAATAAGCTACATTGCTACTAAATCGCCCCAGAACTTGAGGTCCTCCTTGTCTTGCAACTTCTTGGCTCTGTAGGACCAAAGACGGATCATATCTGCAGCATGAAAACGTACGTATGCATCTGTCCAAGATCGTGAGTTGAAAACACGATCGTTACGGGCACGGTAACATAGGACACGGTATGTCACTTGGATTCAAATTGAACAGACCACTTGCCAGCGCCAACGCCAACGCCAGGTAATTCACAAAGCTAATCTGCATCCGAATTACAGCATTTTCCCAGTGAAACAAAGCAGATTGCCTTCCCGTGGACAAACATGCCGCATCAACCCCGAAGCACTAAACACAAGGATGGTCGGGGCAGCGCCACCCAATGCCATCGGCTAGCTGTGTATGTCAAAGATCACTCACCGGCTGACGACTCCATCCTCTGCGTTATCAAACGCACCGCGGCGTTGGCGGCGGAGAAGGCCCCGTGGAAGCTCTCCTGGTACGACAGCTCCTGCAGATCTCCGACCATCTTCATCAGGATCTCCCCCACATCAGACTGCTTCGCCGTGAGGGACTCGTGGTACGACCTTGCGGCCGTGTTGCTGATGTCCACGTTGGCCGGCTCGGGGCAGTACTCGTCGTCCAGCCACTTGTGTAGCGTTCCCCTCAGCCATTCGGATTCCTGGTAAGAGGTGGAAAGAGGAGATGGCCTTGCTCAATGACCGTACAAATAGCGTATGAGCGTATCAATAGGCAGGCTTGAGCTGATAACAGTCAAACAGGAGCAGGAGAAATAATCTAGCTTTGTGAAGTACTCCCTCTATTGAAATATAAGAGCGTTCCTAATAACTTTCAAGCTCCTCCATAATAGGGATTTTAAGTTCAGGAGCTACATTACAACTTTCGAGCTACTCCTGCGGGCGTGATGGAGATGACGGAGGAGGTGAAATCATGGATGCGAACCTGCGCTGCTCCTGCGGGCGTGAGCCAAGAATCAGGCACCCTCAGCTCCTGCACGCGGTTGTCCTTGTCACCGCCGCGGCCGGCGGCGCGAGGTGCAGGGGGCAAGGGCCGCCGTGGAGAGGGGGCGTTGATGGAGGTGGAGGTCGACAGTGGGGAGGAGGGGCTGATGCGGGAAACGAAGAAAGGTCGCGCCTTCGAGGGAGAAGCACAAGCGAGCCCATGGAGGAGAAGGGCGGAGGATGAGGTAGAAGATGCCATTTCCCCTTTTTTTTCTCTTCCTTTTTCTTCTGGTTCTTCTATGTCTACTTCTTTTCTCGAGAGGTGAGGTGTGGTGTGGGTGTCTCCCTTCCCGGTTTATTGAACAACATAATTATATATTTCGCAAAATTCTGAAAAAAGGATTGTACACGCAGTTAAGGATGCATATTAAATGTTAGTTCAAAAAATGAGCCTTGCTAACGAAGTACTGCGCGTCCTAGGTCGGGCGATATGATGCATGTTAATGTCACGATCTTTCTTATTTCTAAACTAAAATGGTACTGGTATTCACTTTATAAAACAAAAGCTTATGGAATCTTGCAGATTGTTTGGGGTTAATCCTGTCCTTCCAAAAATCAGATAAGGGCTAAAATGCCGCCGTGGCTGACTTAAGGTTAAGTGAGCCCAAATTAGTTCGAGGGGGGAAAGTAGATTTTCTTCCCACTAAATGTGCTTTTTCTTTTTTATTTTGGGTTCTATAATGTGCTTCATTCTTAAAAGTTCAACAAAACAACACCATAATGATGCAAGCGAGACATTATCTAAAAATAATAATCTAACAAGCGAGTGATCATATGGGAAAACAAATATTATGGCGGAACCAAGAATCGGAGACCCTCTTTATGAAGAATGGGTCATAGCTGTGGTATGGAAGAAAAGAAACAATACATTCACAGCTGTATAACTTCTCAGACATGCAAAAATAAAACACAAAATGCAGTGATTCTTCAATCTTCATAGGTCCATTAGCTTTTCTATAACAATAGTACAACACATATGAATTCGAACTTAGGACATGGTCCTAGCTTGTTTATGAAGCCTTTGGGTTATTAACCCTAAGCAACAACACAAAATCTCGAGAGGATGAAGAAATAACAAATGGTAATGAACACACAACATAGACTGAATGCAAAGCTGTCCATAAATTATTTTCTCTCGCCCCAAATGCGACCGAAAAATCAGAAGTCCACGGTTCCAGATGACACCTTTGCCTTCTAAAGCTGTCCAATGAACCGAGGTGCTTACGCTGTCTTCTCTGTCACAAGCTTCTCGATAAGGTCCGCTGCATCCTGCACGGTTGCAATGTCCTGCGCGCTTGTTTCATCGACGGTGATGTTGAACTCTTCCTCGAGGCCCATCACAATCTCAACCTGCAAAACACAATCGGTGTTACGTATGAACGGCGCTGCTTTTGGGCTACTGCCATTTCTGTGGGATGGGGAGTTGCGGATTTACCGTATCCAGTGAGTCAGCACCAAGTTCAGAAAATTTCGACTCCGCTGTGACAGGGGTCCCATCAGGGACTGCCAGCTGCTTCTTGACTATCATACAAACCTTGTCGACTGTCTCTTTCTTGGCCTGTGCCTCACCCGTGGCCTGCTCAAGAAACGAAAGAACATCGTTACCTTAAATCAGTACATCGAGCGTGGTTGTAAAAAAAATGCTGAAACATTTGCCATCTTTATCCGATAACGTTATCCAAGGAAGATTTTTACTGCACCTATGGTGTCTAGACTGCAATTTGAAAGAACATTTTCCATGAAATGATGAAATGATTTGCCCATATTTAATGTTTGAATTTCCTCCAGTGTAAACAATTCTCACCTATTTTAACCCTAAACTTATTTACATATTTCAATTACTGCCAACGCAAACAATTCTCACCTATTTCAATCACAAACTTGTTCACACATTTTAATATACAAAAATATTTAAAAAATGACATATGTCTAGGAAGAACTAGACATCAGTTTTATTAAGATGAGAGTTCCAGATCAAACCCAGGCTGCCTAGCCCATCATCCATGGTGCTAGCCAGTAAGCGCCTGGGTGAATCACTTGGCCACCTATAGAAGTACAGAGGTTCGGAAAAAAAGATATAGATATTGTGAACGCATGGAGGCAAACTTCTACTATTGCGACAGAGAAGAAACGTGTCCCTACCGAACAACAAATCTTAAACCGAAGCGAACTCGGTCTTGAACTGATGGATACAAAGCTCATCTTCTGGCTATGGAAGGAAACTGAGCTCCGGCTCAAAATTACATTAGCCACCTGCAACGAACCAAGAAATTGTTTCCATAACTGAACTGTTCAAACACACAGACCGCAGAAAAAAAATACTACAACAAAAATGCATGAAGTATTTGAAATTAATAAAGTGCAGTTGATCAACCAAATGCATATTTATCCCTTGAAAATAGATAAAGCAAGGAACACGACATGATGAAACTTAAGCTCACAGATTTCAAGCCAGAGCGCCATGATGTAACTTCTGCTCACTCATTTTGCAAAGTTGGCAAATGGGCCAAAAGGGTCAGTGTGATCAGTGCTCTGGATCCTTGAGCTTGTCGGCACCTGCGCAGTCAGCTGCAGTTTCGAACGAGGATGTGGAATCGTCGTTGAGCAGCACTTTCAAACCCAGAATGTGAAATAATCGTTGGGCTGCCCTTCAAACCAGAGGAAGGAATGAACTACTAGTGCCTTTCAGATACCAAGTGTCCTGCTTCCTGGCTGGCAACCAGCACTGCAAATTATCCGGTCTAGGTATTCGAAATTTAACCAAGACATTGGTGCAATACACAAGGATCTCGATGCAACCATGCGTCAACCAAGTTTCTCAAATACCAGGCCTAACATGAAACTAGTGATGTTGAACCCAAAAATACATCCAAATGGATTATGGAATCTAATGGTGCAGGACACTCCAGGTTAGACCAGAAGCACATGGCAATATACAATTGTAAAACAAAGGCTGGCATTTTTTATTTGGCTAACGCATCAACGTCGAGGTGGAGAGCAACACATTGGTAAAGAACTGTTGATCTAATTCAGCAAGATCTGAAGCATGTGATGTGGTTGGGTGGCTTCCTAGAGCTTTACATCTTCTGAACCAGGCTACATTAGAATACTAAACTGAAAATTTTAAAATAAGCCTTACTGAGCCATCCAGATCCAGTTGCAACGCCGGTTACGTTAAACACAGCCATTTTGGAATCTTTGAAGTTTGTACTAAAATAAATCAAATTGTCAACATCTGTTAGTAAATATGTGTAAATAGGCAAATTTTCCCACCAGTGTAAGGTTAATTAACCTCATAGGTAACTAGTTAAAGCTTTTCTGCCTTTCTAACCATACTATACCAGTTCAAATGTACCTATTTCTCTCTAGATAAATGAACATATGGACTGAACGCATGGGCTCATCTTATGATGTGCTCAATATATACTTAGTGTGAAAAATACAGGCATATGAGAAACATCGCCAAGATAGCAAAAGAGGAAGCGTGTTTATGCTACTCAGTGAACTATTGAATCAAACCAAGAAAGCATCTATTCATCCAAGTATCCAACCAAATCAACCACGAACTTAGAAGAAACACACAGGAACAGCCTTGGAATCTCATGAACCGCAAACTAAAACTATGCAAATGACCAAATCTGTGACAAGACAGCGGTCAGTCCGAGAACGGCACCTGGCTGGACAGCCGCCGGCGGACGGCGGACGGCGAGAAGGAGGCAACGGCGGCGAGGCAGTGCGCCATGGGTTGGCCGGCTGAGCTGCTCGGTAGAATTTGGGGGCGGTGGGAAGAGGCCGGCTGGTAGGTGGAGTGCTACGCTGCTCGGGAGGTCCTGCTCTGGAGCTGCTACCAACCAATGGTGGCAATTATAGTGCAGATAGGAGATAAAATAGACAGGCTTAGGATAAAGTGCCCAAAAGAACGCTGATGCACTATACTCCGAGTCCGAGAGAAAAATGGAATAAAATAAATTCGAAGTATATCTGTTGGATATCTCAGCCTTCGATGTGCAGAATGGATATACATGTGACATGTCATGCCACATTTGTAAGAGCATCTCTGGCCGTTCGGGCCTCCAAGGCTTGAAATAGCGTGGCCTGGAGATCAAACGGCAATAAAATCGACATGAGTGGTTGTCCCAAGCTGACTCCAAACGCCGCTTTTTGAAAATCAAAGATGGCTAGATTTCACACAAAATGACATAAATTCGGACGAAATTGAGACGGTTTTCATTGACATATGTACAAAATTAAAGACATAACTTAAAAACTTAGAAAAACCAAAACTATGCCCTAAAACTACGCCGCCGCCCCGGGCCTACTGCATACCGAGGTGCTTGTAGAAGGCGGTGTAGTCGCTGCCGTCGTCGTCGTCGTCCTGCACGCCGCCGCAGTCCTTGCTGCAGCCCTGTCTTGCGTCGCCTTGGCGGACAGGGTTGGTGCGCGGCGCCTCCTCGTCGCTGTCCTCGAGGACGATGACGCCACCCTCCTCGCGGCCGCGGCGCCGAGTGGCATCTTCTTGAGGGCGTGGCGCTGGCGCTCCATCTCCTCCCAGACGTAGTCGTCCCGCGCCCATTTGAGGCCCGTCTCGAGGTCGACGGCCATGTCGACGTGCTCCTGCTTCACGATGACGGGCGGCGGCGCCGGCTCCTTCTTCGGCTTGACCAGGCGAAGATGGCTGTGGGGAGGAGGAGAAGGATGGCGGCGCTCATTTATGACGAGGCCGCCGCAGCGGGTGCGTCGACGCTTCGGTGTCTCCAAGGGCTCGGCCTTGACGGCGACGAACGGCAACGCCATGCCGGAGGAGCGGGAGGAGGAAGAGGCGCCCGCCATGCGCCTCGGCAGCCAAGCGCTGCCACTCCGGCAGGGGACCGTGACCGTCGGGTACTCGAACGGCGGCTCGTTACCGCCCTCGAGGTGCTCGAGGATGGCGTGGAGCTTGCGCCCGGGGACGACCCACCATAGTCGCCTGGTCGTCGGCGTTGTGGCGCCCCCTTGGCGTGGCGGCGCTCGAAGTTCGTCGTCCAGGAAGCGTGGTTGTCAGGGGCGTACTCTGGAAGGTGTCGCATTCGTCCGGTAGGGACGCCCGAACGTGCGCAATCTCACCGCGGCATTCGGCGTCGGTCAGCGACGGAGGGACGGGGACGCTGCCAGCGCTGAGCCTCCATGAGCTCAGCACGGGCATGTCCGGCGGCGTCGGGTAGTTCACCTCGTGGAGGAGGTACGCCTCCCACTCGTGAAGGTGGCGGCGGCCAAAGCCGTTGGCTGCCGCTCCATCGTCGGGGAAACGCT